GGAAGGAAATTGCACAGATGAAAGCAGAAATGAATGAAATTGAGGCTAAAAATAACAGTATAAAGAATAAAATGAATAGAAGAGCTGGTTCTTTGAAAGCATGAACAAAATAGACAGACAAACCCTAAGCCAATCTTAATCAAAAGAGGAGAGAAGCTACCAGGGTGCTGCCAGCCGTTTTTTTTTTTTTCCAACTCATTTGCATACAAAAAGACCTATCACATAGGAGTCACATTTATAGGAAGATATAAGAAATACAAATGCACGTTACTAGGGGTTTTTTTCCATCTTAATAAACTTGTAGCCAGGCATGGTAGTTCATGCCTGAAATCTTAGTACTCTGGAAGCTGAGGCAGGAGAATTGCTGCAAATTCCAAGCCAGTCTGGGCTGGCTACATAGCAAGTTCAATATCAATCTCAACTACTGAGTGAGACCTTGTCTCAGAAAAACAAAATAAAATAGTGAGGAACCCTAGTAACAGCAATCCACAGCTAAAGCAATTTATTAGATAGATAATAAGTGCCCGCCCAGATTTTAGCGATTGCTTAGCACATCAGAGATTTAACCAGTAAAAACAGACACAAGCATTAACCTCCTTTCTCTCTCCTGCTGCTTGCCTCCTTTTATATTACTTGCTAAGGATCATGCAGCTTATTAGTTTCAGGGCCAAAAATATATGTTGCCTTTTCACATTGTTTCGCCCTCCCCATGTTATAATTGTATTTCAATCTTGCTTTTCTCACATATATTTTTAAATGCTATCAATTTTTATTGAGATATAACTTGCACATCATAAAACTCACCATTTTAATATATGTCAGTAGTTTGTCCTATATGAATACACGAAAACAAACAAGTTTGTGCAATCATCACGACTAATTCCAGAAATTTTCATGATCCCCTCAAAAAGAAACCCCATATTTATTAGCAATCATTTCCCATTTCCTCCCTCTACTACCATCTCACAACCTCTAATCAACTTTTTGTCTGTGTGGATTTGCTTATTCCAAACATTACACTTAAGTGGAATCATACGATATCTGATCTTTTGTATTTAGCATTTTTTGCTTAGTGTGCTTTTGAGATTCATCCATGGTTTAGCATGTGTCAGTACTTAATTATTTTTGTTGATAAATAATATTCAATTGTATGGATATTTACTGTAATACATTTCTGTTTTGTGGGTTTGTTTATTGGTTCATATTGTAGTTTTACAGGATGGTGGGTCCCAGGGGAATTTTTTCTAGGTCCTTCACGTCCTGAACAAAGAATTAGACAACATACACTGAAAAGATAGGGTAGGTGTACACTTAGTGAAGGTGGAAAAGAAGGCACTCTGCAGAGTGAGAGCAGGCTGGTGCACAGGCTCACAGTGGTGGTGAGAACAAAGAACAGGGCTCTTTTGTATATGGAATTTCTTGATTGGCTTCTTCCTCGTTCAAACAAGGTTTAGGGACCATTGCCCTATCTAAAACTCACTGATAGGGCTGGGGATTTAGCTCAGTGGTTCCGCCACCTGCCTTGAAAAGTGTAAGGACTTGAGTTCGATCCCTGGTTCAAAACAAAGCAAAACAAAACAAAAAAAACCTCACTGAAGTGGCCAGATTTAAACTGCCCTATTGAGGACTCTCTTGGCTTGAATGAAGAATTGAAAATGGCATTTTTCTGATTGGTTCCATGTACAGTGCTCAGGCACTGCAGAGTCATCGTGGATCCTATTTGTGCCTATGCCTTGGGTCTGTATGATTTGACAGATTCTACCCAGTTATTTGACTGGATCATCCCAAACCTAATCTCCTATTTCAGCAGTACAAAATAGAGTTGTTGTTTTTTTCTTTTTCTTTTTCCCAAGAACTGAGACGCTTAAGGTATATTGGAATAATTGTATAACTTGTATTTTTCTTTCTTTTTTTTTTCTATACTGGATTTTGAACCCAGGACCTTTACACTGAGCTACATCTCTAGCCCTTATTTTATTTTTATTTTTTTAAATTTGAGACAGTCACTGAATTTCCCAGGCTGGTCTTAAACTTGCAATCCTTTCTGCCTTAGACTTCTAGAATGTTGAGCTTAGATGTGTGTGCCACCACTTCCAGAATGTATGACATATTTTTATTATTCTCATCCCTGTTATCCCCTCCTTTTCTCCCACTTCTCCTAATCACCTTTCTTATCTCTAGAAGACTACCTGTACTATGTTTTGTTTATCCATTTATCACTTGGTGGTTGTATCTTCTTATTGACTAGTATAGTACAACACTGCTATGAATATTCTTATACAAGTTTTTGTATGAACATATATTTTCTCATGGGTACAGTTTTAAGAGTGCAATTTTATCATATGGTAACTCCATGTTTAATATTTTGAAGGATTTTCAGATAGTTTGCTAAAATGCACACGATTTTATATTCAGAGCTAAAAGCCATAGTTCCAATTTTTGGATCTCTCTCTCTCTCTCTCTCTCTCTCTCTCTCTCTCTCTCTCTCATTTGTTTTTGGTACCAGGGATCAAACTCAGGACCTTGCTCTTGTGAGGCAGCTGGCAGCACCACTGAGCTAAATCCCTAGCCCTATTCACATCTCTTTTAATCTTTTTTTTTAACCATTGTACCTATCTCAGCAGATATGAAGTGATACCTCAGTGCAGTTTTTACTTTTTTTTTCATTTCTTGTGGTGCTGGGGATTGAACCTAGGGTCTTGTACATGCTGGACAAGTGCTCTACCAGGAAGCTACACCACCAGCCTCATTAATATGGTTTTGATTTGAATTTTCCTAATGATTAGTCATATTGAACACCCTTTCATATGCTCATTAGCCACATCATAGCTTCTTTGGAAAAATATCTACTCAAGTCCCTTTGTATGCTTTAATTGAGTTGCTATCTTCCTATTGAGTTAGTTGCACATGATATACCGGGGACTGAACTCACGACCTTGCACTTGTAGGCTCAGTGCCACTGAGCTAAATCCCTGGCCACATTATATATTCTTATTCAGATATATGATTTGCAGATATTTTTTTCCATTCAGTAGCTTGTATCCTCTTTCTCGATGGTGTCATTTAATGAACAAAGGCTTTTAATTTTGATGAAGTCTTATCTATTTTTTTTCCTTTGGTTGCTTGTGGCTTTGGTGACACATTTATATTTTTTCTTTGAAGAATAAAATGACACTAAACCAGGAATAAATAGGTAAGTGTTTTTTTCCATACTTAGAATTATGTAAATGTGTTACCTTGGGCAAATATTTAAAGTCCTTTAGAACTCCACGTCCACATGGGTAAAAGGAAGCTTGGTTCAGCAGAGTAAGCACTGTATAATTTGTGTGTGTGTGTGTGAATAAATTATTCTCTGAAACTACCTCAGCCTAGCACTTGTCAACCTGGACAACTTTGCCCTTGAGGTAAGCTTTGGCAATCTTTGGAAACATCTTTGGTTGTCACACTGTGTGAAATGCTTCTGGTGTGTGGTGGATAGAGGCCAGAGATGTTGCTAAACATCCCATAGTACATAGGAAGCCTACTCACAAAGAATTATTTGGCCCAAAATGACAATGTGCTTAGGTTGAGAAACTACTCTAAAATTAATGATTCTATTGTTCCAGTTTCTTTCACCTCCTCTGTACTGAGGATTGAAGCCAGGGCCTTAGCACATCCCCAGATCCCCAGCTTTTTTTTTTTCTTTTGAGTCAGGATCTGGCTAAGTTATTAGGTTGCCCAGCTGGTCACTAACTCTGGATCCTCCTGCTTCAACCTCTCAGAGTGCTGGGCTTATAAAGTGTGTGCCACCATGCCCAGCTTGTTCCAGTTTATTTTAAGTGGCCTTTGCCTTTGTACATAGGAGCTAGATGGTTTTGTGCTCTTAGCCTATAATTGCTGGGGGCATTAAAATTAAAAAGGCAGTAGGAGGGGGAGGCACTAATAACAGTAAAATCATTTTGATTATTATAGGAAGTTATCAATGCTTGCAAGTCAGAAGATTTTTGGGAATGTTACGTGAGCTATTTTAACTACTGTATCTTTTAACATGAAGAAAAAATATTTTAATATAGATTCCTCCAGGCAAATCCTAGTAGATGTGTTCTTCTTATTGAGTCTCTTTCTGTAGGGTTTCTGGAACAAAATAACTTTTGGGAAATAGTGTGTACATGGTAGGAAGCATATCTAATCAATCAGAATAGGAAATAAAACAGAACAACTTGATGGAAGAAACTTGTAGTTGATAAATCTCTGTATTGGTGACTCGTCTGAACTCCAAAGAAGTTAATACTGTTCTTCCACCTAATCACCATGTGGCAGCTTTTCCTAATACCATCTACTGCAGTGTACTCATTCACCAGGAGTCCCACAGATTTTCAGAATAAAACAGACAACAGTTTGAAATATATGCCAGCTTTTCTAAAGATCTCATGTAAAAAGCTACTAAATTTATAAGTCTTTTTTCTGTGTTGACACAACTGATTATTTTGTGGGTTGCATCATTAGATGTAATCATTACCAATAGCACTAGAACCATCATCACCATCATCATAACAAAGGTTTCTTGATTATACTATATTAGGCTCTTTTCTAAGTACTTTAAATGTGTATTTATGTTCCAAACATCTTAAATGCATATGTCTCCTCACAAAAATCCTATAACATAGCTTTAAAAACTGTATTTGCAGATAACAGAAAAACATATAACATGTGATAAAATACTTACTGAACTATATTAAACATTTCTTGTGTACTAAAATGATTTCATGTTTCAACAAAAGTATTTTTATTGTTAAATCTATGACAGTGATGTCTCTAATTTTCTAGCACTCCAGGTAATAGCTATTGAAAATGGAGTTATTTCTAATTTTTGAGATGTTTTAAAATTATTTATCTCTTTCAAAAGTATATGCACGTACTTTGAGGCTGCTATAATAACCTCCCAACTCTGAATATTTATGTAATATTTAAAACTTATAAATAATGGAAAGGGCTTTGTTTAATTTTGTTTACATATACAGGAAGCAGTGAAAGAAAATAATAAGAGAAGAGAAATGGAAGAGAAGACTAGAAGGGCAAAGCTTGCAAAAGAGAAAGCTGAACAAGAAAAGTTGGAACGTCAGAAGAAAAAGAAGCAACTCATTGATATAAACAAAGGTATGAAAATATTTTCAATTTTTTTGAAATATGCATGAAACACAAAACAATTTCACTTATTTAGTCTTGTATTATAAAGTAAATATTTTTGTGAAAAATTCTCACTGTTATTACTTATTTGTATCAGATTTCTCTCACGATGCTATCTCTTGGTATTTGTTTTCATCCTACACTGAGCACTCAGGATTTTTGATAATCGTTGCGAGGTGTTTTATTGTTAAAATCAACTTTTTCTCATTTACTTCATCATATTATATTATGTTCTGAATGAGAAAGAAGTAAAGGAAGAAGGGTAAAATGAGAAGTGAGAATCTGGTATGGGGAGATGAGGCATAGGACTGTAATTTCACTTTGTAAGGCACATATGTGTTGACAGTGCAGTAACTAGTCTTCCTTGGGGGTTTGAACATTTCAAGTTATAATGGATGTGGGCAGCACTATTATACATTGAAAAAATAGCAAACATCTTTTTTAGCTATGAACTTCAGTCCAAAATTCTGGTACAGCCACATTAGTATAAAGTTTGTTGTTTGCTTGGTTAGCAAGAGTAACTGCATGTTGTACATGGACTTTTTATTTTGGTTTAGTTTTTAAAGAAGACAGGACAAAAGAAGAGAGTAATTGGTTTTAAGATACTTGCACTCTGAAAATTTTAGACAGAGAAAAGCATAGCCCTTCCCACTTGAGGTTTAGAAAATTTAAAAACAAAACAAAATTTCAATAAGACACAAGATAGTATGATTAATATTGGACCATTTATTCCTGAAAACACTTTATAATAGTGATCCTATTAAAAAATATTGACCATATGCCAAACACTATTTTTACTTATTGTAAGTCAAGCCTTATGTCTCTATGAGGTAGGTACTATTAATATTTCATTTTCAAATAGGAAAGTGAGCCTCAAAGAAATTAGAAACTTCCCAAGATCACACAAATAGGAGGTATTCACATTAAGATAAAATCTAACTAATCTGGTATAGAATCTTCACATTTATCCTTCCTTGCTACTGTCAGAAAGAACAGCTATCCTATAGCATTTACTATGTACCAAGAACTATTTTAGGATTTTTACATTTCTAAATCCATTTAATCCTGGTAAAATTAATTTGGAGAAGCACGACTGCCTCATTTAAAAATGAGAAAACAGGGCAGGGGATTTAGTTCAGTGGTTCTGCTGCCTGCCTCACAAGTACAACGTCCTGAGTTTGATCCCCATAC